ATTATCCCATTTCATTTCTTTTATTATCCCTTGCCTACCTGGAAGGAGGCTGCACGGGGCCTCCTCCGCGGGGGTCCGGCCGCACGGCTGATCACGCTGTCCGCCTGCGCCCTGCAGGAGGCTGGGGGTCAAACAATGCAGCAACAGCTATCAAGACTACCATAGTTATTGCTAATCTTGTTATATCTTATTACTATTGTTACTAGCAATGATCAAGGGAAATTTCACATTCAGCACGAAGACTGCCCGACTTGAACGTTGGGATTTTTTTGTGCGTTAATTGCTCGCAGTTATGCCCTTAGTGAGCACCCGTGCATCCTCCTCATATTCCCAATGTATTTGTGTGGTCCTTACTTCCCCACATTAAGAAGAACCCAAGAACAGGTTTCTGTTCTGGTGAGTGCGAAACAGCTTGTTAGCCCTTGCGAGATTGGTAGATCCCATGGTCTGGACCTTTTGAGGCCCTGCAAGCTACAAAATCTATCATAACCGTGTGTATACGCATGTACACACACACATGAAAAGCACTTTAAGGACGCACACCGGCAAAGCTCCGATCGTTTGTAAAGCCTTGCAGAAGCCTTTGCGACCCTGCAAACTTGAAGGCAGGGGCCCCACCGAGTGGCCTCCGCGCCATGTGCGCGGGCACAGCGCGCCTGGCCGCGTGGCAACGAATTGAAGGCCGGAGCCAAGATTCCTATTGTGGTCCTACAAAGGTACGGCTAGCAGCTAGCGCGCCTTCCTCCATCCACTTGCCTCTACACTCTTTCCATATATGTCTCCAGATGTATGTCTTTGCGTATCCTGTGTAAGTACCTTTCAGAATAGAGGTGGGGAGACCCGAGCCTCAGCAAGAGAGCCCAATAATAGTAGTTTCCATTTTATTTTCCATATCCCCATATAACCCCAATATACTTCAAACATTACCCCAATGGGTCCCAACTCAAGGGCGCACATCCCGGGGCAGCGGTCAGGCAACGGCCACTTGGATGCTGAGATGTGCTGGGCACAGCTTTCAGCTCGCTTTCAGCTTGTGCAGCAGGGGTTATATAGGGGTCATATGGGATAATGGAAAAGAAAATGGAACTACTATAATAAGTTATATAGGGGATATATAGAGTGTTGCATCCCATAAGGCTAATTGCTGATTTTTGCTTGCTGAGCAGGCTTCATGACTGTAGCGTGCCAGGCTCAAGCGACCTAGAATGTCGGTTCATGCCTGCAAGAGTCAATGCTGGCAGAGTGCTATGCTTAGTCAGTAGATGTCAGCACTCGCAATCACAAAGGAAACATATGCATATGTCTGCTGGACATGGAAGATGATCTGTTGGGCCCGCATCCCATCCTGCCTTCGTCGAAGGCTAAGCATACAGGACGCACTGCGTGGGATTCGCGCATGATTTTTTTTCGCATGGCAAAGGAGGCATCCCTGATCTTGCAGAGATACTCAAAAGACTGGTAGCAGGACGGCAGGAGCGGGTTCAATCCGAAGCTTCTAAATCTTAAGCTCCAAACAGCTCATGGTAGACGAGGTCACCATCTTCGCCCAAGCAGCCTGAGACTGCATCGGGGTCCGGAGCAGATGCTGTGAAGGTGGGGCAGTGGGGGTGCGGGTCTAAAGCCAAGTCTGTCAAGCTTCTGCAAACGATGTGCTTCTTGATGTTTATGATAAAGATGGACTTTTTGGATGGGTGGGTAGTTTATGGGGGTAGGCCAAAGAACCTTGTTGTACAACCTAATTAAGCAGTATGGCTCGCGGCCCTGAGCCCTTGCGACAGCCATTCTCATGAGTGATTCCCCCAAGAAGCATTCAGATGTTAAATCCTGAATCCTCATCGCTTACGCTGAACCATTAGTCCTAATCCCTAGATCCTGAAGCCTACGCTAACACCCAGGTCGTCAGCCCTCCACCCTAGACTCTAGTCTTACTCGTCATCAGGTTCTGCGGATCGCTGCTGGCGCGGGGGAAGGCCCAAACCGGAGATTGCCAACGGTTTGGGGTTTAGTGTTCTGGCGGCTTCGTCTGCAGGTGATGTAATCACTAGCTCATTATGGATTTCGGGCAGGGAGTAGAGGCGACCGGTCGCGAGCCGGAGTGTGTGTACGCCTGTGTGAACTCCTTGCTGAATTTATATATGTTCCTATTCCCCGTAACATGCAGGTTCGAGGTGGGTGGGAGGGAACAGATCCCGTTAGACAGTCTAGCTTGCAGCAAAGATTGCAGGTTAGTAGTGTTTTTGCCCACCCGCCCGCCCTGGGGTGAGGTATCTTTTGTGCCGGGAGCCATCCGTCCTACGGGACTCGTCCATGGGGACATGTGTGAAAGGTTTCCCTGGCCGTTTCCAGAGATACATCCCCGTGCCACGGATGCGTCCGTTAAAATGAAGGCTTCTGTCCGTGCAAGTGTGTCAGTGCTGTAGCTGCAGTTGCGATCTGAACTTACCTTCTGTACATGCCAGCGTCTTGCAACATGAACGTTAGTTTGCGTCAGCGCTGTTGCTGCAGTTGCGACCTGAGCCAACATTCTGTACATGTCAGCGACTTGCAACATGAGCGTTAGTAGTGTTGTGTTGATGTGAGCGACCCCGAAATCTATAAAGGGTGTTATTTCATTATATTTCAATTTTTCTGTGGTTTTGAGTTCGAGGGTTTAGGGTTTGGGAATATTGCAGTCTAGTGATTCTTGTTCATTGGGTGCTAGTTTTGTTAAGTCCTCCTGCATGAGCAGAGCTTGCCTGCCACTCTATCAGCTGCTTAGCGAGGAATGAATGGATTCCTGTAGCAGCCCCCTCGCGACCCTCAATGCTCATCCCAGTAATCCAACTACCTCATCCATATGAAGCACCGGGTAGCATCGTTGTTTTGCAGTCTCAGCTTACTGGTGCTCGTGTCGAATGAACTTCTTGCAGGTCACGATGGTGCAGCTGAGGGGGAGGAGGCACATCACACCCAGCTAATGTAGTAGCAGCTTCATAGCGGGGCACAGCATGCTGCCATTCTGGGACTTCCCCATTGTTCGTTGCGCGCCCAGGGTTTGTATGACTGCACGAGTGGAAAACCTAAACTTTATCCGAAAGCCCCACATCCCTAACCGTAAGCCCGCCCCAAATATCTTAAACCACTTTGTTTCTGGGTCACTGGCATGGTGCCGGAGAGGCTTGGAGTCCTTACTTCAAGGCCGGGCGAGCTAGCGTTGTAGAGCTTTGTTGTTGAGATTTTTCATTGCTTAGGGCTCTGAGGCTTTTAGGGTTCTAGGGCTTTCAAGTGACCCAGGTGTTTAGGTTTAAAATGTTCAGGATTTAGGGTTTGTGTCGCTTCAGCCTTTCTGCACTGCACTGTCGGGGTTGGCCTTAATCTGCTGCTGCGGCAGCATGTTGATGTTCCCAAGTTAGGAAAGAGCAGCCGATTGCTGATGCATGCGGCGCAATCCATGCTACCTGTTGTCATGGTGGTTGCTTTTGCGATTATTGTCATCACGTTGCAAACATTGCTCCGCACGACAACACTTTTTCTACTAGCGCTGGCCCATCTCAAGCTGTTGTTTGCATGGAACTCTGAATTCTGCAGTGAGAGCGAGGCACACGGCCTTAACAAGCTGCTGCCAGAGATCGTACAGCAGCTGGCAGCCACGGAGCCAGCAGATCCTTACCAGCTCGGCACCCATTCTCAAATGTTGGGTCTCTTCTTCTAAAGTTTGGTGAATGTACTCATCTCCTAGATAGACCCACATGTCCGGGCCTCTGCTTTCATTCTGACAGCAACTACCCGTTTATGGGTTATCTGGCGGGACACCGCCAACTTCGTTGCTGTGATTGTAGTAGGTAGTGAAGGGGCAGTACTGCTGATCGTAGAAGAGGATTACGGCCTCTATGGCGTTGGGCTGGACTGGCAATGACGATATGAGGTGGATCATTCGACATCTCATCCAAAAGAAGAAGGAGAACGAGACTGCAAGTGCCACCGCAGGTGCGGCAGGGGTGTTTGCTACCAGGCCTCTGGATACATGTGGACGTGTGCGCGGTTGCTTGTTTGGTGTGTCCATGTGTTTGCGGCGTCGCTGGATGACGGTGCTTAGCTGATGCTGGTCAAGGATGTGCGAGCAATCGGTGCAGTGCCTCTCGCAGCTTCAGCTGATTCTCATGGGGCTGTGCAAATTCCGAAAGAGGACAAGACTCCAACTCCCAAACTATTACCACGACAGGGAAACAGTCTTCACTAGTATCAGAAGAACAGAATCTGATTGGGCCCAACGACCGAGACTCCATGCAAATTCGCTGCTAGACAGCCGCCTTCAGAGGAACGTAAGCAAAAACAAAGACCCATGCCTTCCTCCTAACCCTAAGCCGCCGGCGGAGGAGTTGCTTCAGAGGCCTCACCTAGCAAACCGCGCAAGAAGCGGCTGGGAAGCAATGGTAGTATTATTACTTTGACGTCAGGGAAAGATTCAGAGTGGCCCAGGGATTGCAAATTAGGATTTGCGGTTCAGGGTTTTGGGTTCAGGATGGTTCAGGTTTTAGGGATTGGGGTTTGCTGAGTTAGTGTGTGAACTACTAGACTAGCTGAATTGGCAGTGTGTAAAATCATACTCACACTGGGTTACATGGGATTTTAAGGGGTTATCGCCTTCTCAGCTCACTGCTGCACTACCTCCCAGAAAATCCAAGGGTAATGACAAGTGATTTTTTCCGTAGTAGCAATCTTTCTGCAAGAGAGCTTGCACTACCATTTTTGCTCAGTGCGTGAGTGCTACCGCTTTAAAGCTGAATCATCTCACTGCTTGCCAATAAGTGTCTTTGTCTGTGTAAGTTTTGAATTTTCGACCAGGTACGCAGGGTATGTGGCCCATTGACTAAGTTCCTCTGCAGGAAACCGTATAAGGATCTTCCAGAGCTCACTTTTCAGTCGTTGCCGGTGTCGGACACGTACCTCGCGTACAGGATTGGCTGGCTTCAACGTGCCCTAAACCCTCGACTCCTGCATCCGCATGTCCTACATCCGAGGAAAGGGGGCATTCGCGTGAACTCGAGCGCTTGCCTGCGTCGCGGGTGTAAAGCACTGTTGGACATCGTATGCGCAGAGGCGGGGCTCATTTCAGGGTCTGATAGGGATGTCATGGGAAATCTTTCGGTCTCTGCAATAGCTTCTTTGAGGTTATGCGCAGGCACACAGGTTAGTCGTAGCAACAGCAGTAGAAGCAGCAGCAGCAGTAGCAACAGTAGGAGCACAGTAGTTCTAGACTGGTTGAGTAGAAGTGTATGTAGGCAGCTAGTAGCAGCAGTAGACCGCAGTAGTGGGAGCAGCAGTTAGTGTAGTAGTCGTGGCGTTGGTGGCTGTGGTAATAGCAGTGTAGCAGCAGCAGTAATTATTGTAAGAAGTGCATGGCGGATTTGTCACTACTGTCCTGAAACAGATAAGACATTCCAGACGACACATACTCAGCATTATCGTCCTTACTCGTGGTAATCATCCGGGACTCAGCATTTACAATTGGGCCTATAACCCTACTTATAGCTGGGGAAGCCTGGAGAGCACCACTGAGGGGATTATGAGTAAGCTTATCAGCCCTGTTATAAGTAGCTACTGAATCCCATGAACCCAGAAGTACTCATGTGCAGCTGGCGAAGGGAAAAGAAAATGGAAACCGTTGGATTTGGGGTGTGGGGTTCAGGGTTTAGGGTTTAGGGTTCAAGAGTTTTCTTGGCAAGGGGGGAATGGATATTCCGTCTATGATCCACCAGAATAAGCAATCCCAGTAACAAGCCCTCTAACCCAATGATCCAATCCCACCCTCCTTGCTTAAAAGAGAGTGGGAGTGGATCCTTGTAATCCTGATAGAGTTCAAGGTTCCCTATATATACTCTAGAATCGTCCCTCTACTCCCCCTTAAGCACCAGTAAGCCGCCAAAGCATGAGCGAGGATCGTAAAGCCTTCTGCCACGTTTAATGCTCGCAGCACCTGCGCCAGCATGAAACCCATCAGAACCGGCACCCACCCCCGAGATCTTAGGCTTTCGGGTATAGGCCTTAGGGTTGAATATATTCATATCCTTGATCAGGGACCAACCATTCTCTGGTGATCTAAGTAATTTGAACAGTGAGTTGGTTCATATTTGCAAGGGTACAGACGTCACATAAGGATAGATAGTTTTCCTAGTTACTCATTCATGGCTCCACATTTGCCAGGACCCCTGGGACCAGGTGGAGGAAGCATCCGGAAGTGCACGGATTTACTTTGCCCGGTGCTCGGCACCACGTCGCATACGCATTTCTGGCACGCGCATGCCTGCCCGCACGTAAACATTATGATTATCGAATCATGGGAGTTGACCAACAGAACCCCCACTCCCCATCATTCGTCAGGGAACCCAATCGTCACTTCATGAATTCTTGCCCCATCTTTGGGAAATGCCTAGACTGCAAGTATGGTGTTTCGTGACTACAGTTATGGATCGCATTGCTAATAATTCCCGATGCTTCTTGCATTCAGCGCCTGTCATTCTCAGTACTATTCTCTGCAGGACCATCCATGATGGCTACCATAGCCTTGGTTCTAGAAAGTAGGGAACGAAGGAATGGGTTGTGGGGTTATTGTGTGATCATGGAGATATTGTATCGGGATCTCATTACCATGCTTCTTCCACTAACAGCAAGCAAGCAGAAACTGTAATCCCTGTCAGAGTAGCCAGAATGGCAAACCTAAAGCCCTAACCCTACACCCTAGGTACCCGCCCAGGCACCAGCTCTGAAATGGACAGCAGTCCTTCTGAGAGTCTTTTTGGCCTGCATGTCAGTTTAGCCCTACATCCAAAACCCTAATTTCTAAGCCTGGCACCCTTGAAACTTAAAGCTACTCAAATAACATCTATATAATCCCAGCTTCCATTTCATTTTCCATTTTCTTTTCCATTTGACTCTCCATTACTAGGGTAATATAACCCTAGTATAATATTACCCCAATGGGTATATAGGGTTTAGGGCCCTAAACCCTATATACCGAGGTCTGGAGTGGACAGGCGCTGCTGCAGCGGCTTTGCCACCCTGGAGCCACCGATCCTTGTCTGGGTGGTGCCGTGCTGGGAGGGTCAGGGGGGGTTGTAGTAAGTATGCTTATTACCCCTATGAGCCATATAAGAACCCCAGTTATCCCCATCACTGATCTACTTACTGATTCCACCTCACCCTCCAATAAAAGGCTTAAACAATTTGAATAACAGGGTACAGTGGTCAGTTTTAGTGCTGTAGGAGGGAGAATAGGCATAACCGTTCAGGCTTCTACATTACGGACTGAAACAAAGCAACTGTGGGCTTGCCTCGGCGTTATGTCGGTCTTTACGGAGTACGTTTAACTAGTGTTATGGGGGCTGTTGTCTGCTGTTCTGGTTTGCCCCTTTGCATTTCCTGAAGCAGCAGGGTCTTGCTCGTGCAGAGGGTCATAAGCAGACTCAGTGACAAATCAAGTGTTTTGCATCCGGTTGGTAGATGGTGAGATGATGAGATGAGGGAGCATGCGCTTCTGCCAAGCAATCAGATTCAGAAGACTAGCCCCTCTTTGCCAAGGAAAAAGTGCCGCGATTGCCGAGCTCAGCCTGGGCTTCTCGGCATCTTTTGCCCATGTCCCGTGTTGAGGTACTACAGTTGATGCTCCGTTTTCATGGCTGTAGATCAGAAGCCAGGAGCATTTTTTTTCTTGACCCTGTTTGCTGCTCACCTAGGTGAACCGCTTCCCGGGCATCGGCTGCATCTGCGACAAGGTGGGGCCTCCCGTGCTCCCTGGGCTGAGCTACAGCGGGGTGGCATAAGACACCATACCAAATCAGACTTACACTCCCTCATAACTCTATCTGACATTTTGGGGACAGCAGTCCTGACGGGAGCCCCTTCGAGGTTCCCTGTTCGTTCAAGGCAGGGTTAAAGCCCACTCAAGACCAGCTCGCCTGGGTGTTCAAGAGGGAGATAGTCATGTTCAGTCGAACCAAACTAAACTCCTTCGAAACGAATGGAAACCTTGATAAACCATTCTAGAAGTTTTCTAGAAGTGATGGCTGGTATTATATCTTTGCCCACGAAGCCGTATGATGGGCCAAGATGAGGTAAGGTGTTTGACATGGCTGTTGGTTGGGGCAGATACGGTTTCTTGTATGCATAGATGTGTGTGCATTGGGGGGAAGCCAAGCGTTCAAATCCTACCATATACTTTCCTGAAAATCACTATCTACAAAAGGGAACCATTTTGTTTGGATACAGAAGTCCAAGCCCCTAAATATGCATCACTTCTATGATAACTACTATTACTATTAGTATTATTATTACTAGTATTTCTGGAGGGTTGATAACACCAAAAAATCCCACCTACGCAAGAATCGGGGCCCCACAGCCTCCCTCTCTGTAGAATACTGGTAAGGAAAATGGAAAAGAACATGGAAACTATTATATATTGTGATATTATCCCACAATAATGGATAATTACATGGAAAAGAAAATAGAAACTACTAGATAATTCTAGAAAATCTCTCAACCTTTTGCAGGTGAACATGGCCCTGGCCCTGCGCCTGCTGCAGAAGCTTTGGCCGGAGAAGTTTCGATTCTGGCCTAAGAGCCGCTGGCCTTTGAATTAGGATTTAGGGTTTAGGGTTGTAGAGGAATAATAGGTACCCATTGGGGTAATGTTATGTTAGGGTGATATTTCCCTAATAATGGAGAATTCAGTGGAAAAGAAAATGGAAAATGAAATGGAAACTGGGATTATAGGGGAATTTGTGGCTTATATGAGCTCCAATAATGGAGAATCAAATGGACAAGAACATGGAGAATGAAATGGAAACTGGGATTATAAGGGAATTTATTGGGGTTAGGGTTTATATAAGCTATAATCCAAAGTCCTTAAAGGGGGTTATATTATATAGGGGACTACTATAGGGGATATTAATGGGGATACCAGGAGTTTGGACTGTGGCCTATATGGTTTGGGGCATACGTTTCAGGGTTTGGAGTGTGGGGCTTTGGGTAATACAGGGTCCTTGAAAATTACCAACATCATGGTTCTAGATTCCTTGTACCACTATGGTATAGAGTACCTCAAATAAACCTCGACATCATTTTGGTAACTAGTTAGGCTTCTACAGTATGGTTTGGGCTTAAGCTGCAGGGTTTTGGGTTTAGGAGTTCGGGGGCTTGGGGTTCAGGCTTTCGGTCTTGCGGCTTGAGGTTTCAGGATTCGGGCGATGGTTTAGGGGATTTGAGGGCCCAGGGATGAGGGCATTGTCCCCTTGCAATTCATGAGCAGCGTGAAGTGAAGTATAGTACAACATACCTCAAGCACTTTGGCGTGCCATCCTACGGACGCTCAAGATAGCCGCATAGAGCCCATATGATCTCAACGGTAGCGGGAAACTAGGCAGTTGAGTGTTCTGACTGTGCAGGGTTTTTTGGCTCGAGGTATTATGGTCGCTATCATGATGCATATTCAATCCCAGCCAAGGTTGGCTCTTGCCGGCAGAAACGGATGAGCTTTGCCAGTGGCTGGACAAGCACAAGGCATCAGCGTACAAGTGGCCTACAGTATTGGCTTCCGATTTTTGCATTTTGCAAAGCATTTCTGAATGCTAAGTGGCAGCTTGGCACAGCGAAGTCCCAGTTTTGGGAACGCCCCAAGCTTGCCTGTGCAAAAGTAAGAGTTTGGAATGCTCTTTGAGACACGGCTTTGCCATCCCTTCCGGCTTTGTATAGGGATGCAGTCCTTCATTCAAAATTGGGATTCGTGGTGCCTTGCTCCTGGTTCAGGCGAGCACGGTCATTGTGAAGCCGGAAGGCGGCTCGCAAGGCTGCCGTGTTGCAAGTGATCCACGGCAGGCACCACCACAATAGCAGTTAGTGAGGCTATGACTTTTTAGATGTATTTCTGTTAGTAGAAGTTGCACGTGAATCCGCTGGAAGCTGCTGGACGTCAGGAACACTACCTGTGAAAGTTTGTGAATCGTGAAGAGCCGCGAAGATATGAGAAGAAGAGCATCTTCTTACTGGGCTTTGCTAAGCGTATCCGCACATCCACAAATATCTATGCAATCTTTATCAGATGCACTCCGGAAAGCAGGCTGCAAGCTTTGGAAGCCACATGTTGTTCACTTGGGCAGGTGAGGGTATCTTCCTGGTCCAGGATGCACCCAGTCTGCGGCTGAAACTATCCGCAAAGGCTTCTCAGCCAGTGTATTCCTATTGCTAATTCACGTTTTGTCTTCCATTCGGTTTTGAATTTGTCTCTCTCGCTCCTTTACAATTACCGTTTGTGAGTTCCCAGTAGTGGAAGTCTAAATGTTAGTAGTTCGTTTGTAGTCATGGTATGCCAGGACTTCTTGCACTCTCCCTCTCTCTATCTCTCTCTCTCTCCATGCAGGCCCACTACGGTGCCGGATTTGGCGCCCGCATCTGAGCTGCCTCACCCAAGCAGATGTGGTTTTCTCGAAGTGTTGAGATGACAATGTTGCTAGTCAGGATGCGAAGGGTAGCAGCATTTTTCGTCAACGGCAGTAAAACTATGAAGGGTAATTTTTAGAAAAGACGGCAGCAATACTGATACTGGAAATTTGTAAGCTACTGCGAGCCCATGAGGATGCTGCACATGTCTGGGCCCCTTGCTGTTGAAGATGCGCGAAGGGAGTGCCGCTGAGAAGCTCCCTCAAACCCAAGCCAGCACACCAAATCCCACATTCCTCAAGACCCAAGCCCTAAGGCCCTTACAAACTTTGAACCCTCCCTCAACCCCAAACTCTAACACTGCATCTGCATCCTTAGGCCCTGGCTCAACGATACCTGCCCGCCCCGCTCTTGCTGGATGGCTTAAAGTTTGACCTTCGGTTGTATGTAGTGGTCCTTTGGCTGCACAAGGCTTAGGAACCTTCTCAGTTCACGACGGTTCGAGTGTAGAGTTTGTTGAGGGCAGTCTTCATGCATACCTTCGTGTGTCTTTGCGGGTCGAGAATCTGAATTGTAGGGGCTCACGAACTGTGCTGGCATGTACAGTAGACTGACCTAGCAGCTCATGCAAGGTGACCTCTTTGGATCCACTGGTCGCCTACATGTGCAAGGACGGCTTGCTGTTATCTTCCGCCGGAAAAACATTCGGCAAAGGAATCATTGAACAGCCACGATGGCATGCAGAGGCAATAGCGTTCATAGTTAAGCCTTGATGATTTTCGCTTAGAATGAGATTCTTCCTCCATTTTCCCTCATAGAAAGTACTCTTCGATTCAACATCGAGTACTTACCCAAATATATGGCGAGACATCGCCTGTATCAGGGGTTAAGGACCGTTAACTGGAGCAGTGATCTGCATACCCCCCGTCGTCCAAACATGAAGCCCGAATTCCAAACTCTAAGCCCAAAAATGCAAACCGTACACCCCCCTAAATCCTAAGCCCTAAACCCTAGAATCATGGCTTGGGCCGCCCACCTAATTACCATGGTGGGCAGAGGTTGTTACCTCGCACAGTCATGGGCACGAAAGCATTTAAGTGCGGCCAGGTGCCTGGACTTGTTGCCCTAGAACGTCATTTTGTTGAAATATTTGATCCCTTAATACATTCAAAGCATTCTTAAAGTTGAACCCCTGAACCCTAAATCTTAAACAGTCTTAAGCAGTTTTCCAGGAGGGCCTGGCTCGGTTCTGCACCGCCAAGTACGAGGAGCCCACGGCCGCCAATGCCAACGAGGCCTCCGGAATTGGGCGATGAAACAGAATATTCAGTGGGCGCCTGTAGGGATTGCTGTACCAGCTTTGGGGGGCGGGGTATAGGAGTCAGACATACAGATGTAATTTGCAGAAGGTTCAGTGCTTGGGACTGAACAGTTGAAAGCAATTTGGGTCCATGATTTAGGGTCTCGAGCTTGGGGGTGAAGGTGTTTCCGCTTTAGGGTATAGGGTTCCGAGTCTGGGGCTTGCGGCTTGAGGGGTTTTGGGGTTTCGGGTTAGTTTGTAATCGTAGCAGCTAGCATGTCACAGTCATGGCCTTTGTCTAGTGCATGAAAACTTTAGCAACAGAACCCAGATGATCCCAAGGGGCCATGATTTGTGTGGGTGCTTGTGCGTATGCGTGTGCCAAAGTCATCCTCCCATTTGGACCATGTGAGCAAGTATGCTACTGTGCTGGAGAATTTAGAGGCCCGATGTTGACGATGTCTTGACCAGAAATGTAGGAGCGATGTAGGGTCTATAGAAAAAGAAAAAGATTCTTTGGGATACAGCTGTCTTATGAAACAGGTTTTCTAGGAACAGAGGTTCTTCGCGGAATGTTTGGGACCCAGCCACTTCGCGCAGGCCTACATGCACCTCACGAACTATTCTGTCAACAAGAAGCCGCTGGCCCTGTCGGACATGCCCAGACCGGGCATGTTGCAGTGGTGGATTTAGGTGTGGGTTTAGTCTTTGCTTCTGGCGTGGGAGTTTCCGAAGAAAGGATTCTTTTCCTGGGCTTCGACGCATGAGAACCGTGGTGTATTCTTAACACGTTTTTTGTTGTCGGATCGGGGGCTTCATCTGGAGATACGCCATTTCAATGTTTGGATTCTTGGCGAACAAAGGCGGCATTTTTAGGTACGAGCTTCATATTTGAACCGTACCTTGGCAACTCTAGGCCTGAATCCTAAGCGACGAGCTTACAACCCTAATCGCGCAAAACCTTAAACGCTGGACCAACTTTCGACTAAAGCCCCGAACATTCCCTACTCAGCACCAAGTTTTGAAAGTGTAAAGCCCTCCCAGGTCGACAGCTTTCAAGGAGGGGCGCGGGGGGGGGGGAGGGATCTGGTTTAAGAGTTTAGGGTCCAGGGGTTTTGGTTGCAAGGGTGTGTTGGTGTGTTTGAGGGTGTAAGGGTATGAGGCTTTAGAGGTTTTAAGTTTGTTATTTAAAGCGCTTATGATGGATCTCATGTTTTCTCAGCAGCCCCTGTGGAGATGACCAGGGAGCCCATGAGTTTGAGCAGCTGTGGCTTGCTGTAGCCAGGACGAGGACCCATTCGACATCCACACGCAGGCCTTGAACATGTTGCCGCTGCTGTCTACATTGTTTCTGCAAGGTTCCATATCTTTTTTGCGCTGAGTTCCTTTTTTTTTGCATACGCATTTTTGAAAGAAGCCAGACTTGTCGAACGTGTAGCTATGGGTGTTTCTTTGGAAAGACAGATAAAGGAGCCCCCAAAAAGCAACCCTGAATGTAAGAACATGCCGATTATAGACTGCAAAAGCCAGGCAAGCAAGCGTCCACTTGGCACGCTGTGACTCGGATGCGCTTACAGCAGTTGGCCAGTAGCATCCTCCAGTTTCACGCGCTGAGCAAGCATAAAAAGGAGCAACTTTTTCCTAGCCCTACTGAAATACCTGATGATCAGCCGTCACTTGAGCCAAAAAGTTTGCTGTGCTCAGGCTGAGCCAGATTGCTGCGCAAGAAGCAAACGAAGGCCGCTCCTTCGACGAGGCACCGGGATGTGCGGTGTGTGTTGAGGCCTCCTGTTGTGAGCCATCATGAGAACCCCTAAGCTGCTAGTCGAAGCTCTTCGCCGCCTTCGAGGAGGTATGCGCTGTCCTCCTGCAGGCACTTCCTTGAGGGTTATCCGCCCTGGACAAGCATGGCCCCCGAAGAGTTGGGAGATGTGCGATGCAGAAGCCTGAAGGACTAGGAATGGTATCCTTTAGCTTGCTTACATCCTAACAGCATATGTCCCGCCTGACCCCCCTAATCAAATTGCTTGTGCCATACAGTCGAGACGTTGGCAACATCCTCTGCAGCTGCGTCAGGCCATGGTTCCTGTGATGAAGGCGCGTGGGATTGGGGTCTAGCCTTACTAAACAAGAGCTATGGCTATTGGTGCCAGCCCGTTCATCAGTGCTACTGATTTGATTCTTATCTTTGTTGTCATTGCAGGTGTTACAGCTACCATGGCCATTGCTGCCAGCTGCGTTACGTTTACCATCGCTGTTACTACGAGCTTCGTTGCTTGTTACATACATCTCGATGAAACTTGTGCCCCGGTGTTGGAATGGTAGATTGCGCACGCAGCAAGACGAAGCTCTTGCTATAACCATAATTAAGGAAATGGTCGCAATACGTCGCAATAGTGGTACCCTTAAGAATGGTAGTGATACGCAGTTGTCCGGAAGCAGTTTGAACACCCCTGTCTGCTCTGGCACTGGACGGGCAGGTGACGTATGACCGCGTGGCCAAAGAAGCCAAGCCCAAGCCGCGGACGAAGGCCCGACCGGCTGCGAAACTTTGGATGCAGTGTTTCAATTTGTCATGAAAAAGAAAATGTAAATGACCACAGAACGGCATTGATGTAAGGTTATGTGGTAGCTTCCATTCTCTCATCGACGAATGGAAAAGAGAGTGTGGAACCTGCTGTTCATCAGTCATTTAGTAGGTGCCAGAAGCAATGACCAAGCAATCATAAAACTTGGGGGATGGTTTGGATTTCCAATAGGGGGGATTTATTGAGCAAGTAAATTCCCAAAGATCCGACGCACTGCTCGCAAAGGCGAAAGCCAAGTCACCCAAGAAGGGCAAGCAATTGGACGAGGATGAAGAAGGTGAAGAGGAGGTGACATGGGAACAAATTGCAACATTGTGTGGAGCAATGCCTCAGTCTCACACTGACAGTACAGATATCTTGACATGAGTACGATGAACTCCGCCAACCCTACGTTGCAATGAAAAGGATGACGAGGATGAGAGCGATGAGTTGGCTCCCGAGGATGTGTCTGGGGTCGTTTGCGGGCAGTTCTCCTGCTAGCTGCTGCAAGGAGAAGCATGCCAGCACTCTGGTTTACCCTTTGCATATTTCTCAAGCTGCGTATTTCAAAGCCCAGGGGTCCCCTTTCTATACCCCGAAATTAACACGTGCCAATGTCATGGCCTCTTGAAGGTCTCGAAGATCCTCTGACTTTGAGAGGTGTCTTCTTATAGGGAATCCCCCAAAAAGATTGCTATGGAAACTGGTGAACCTGCCTACCTAAGTTGAAGAAGCAGACTGCTGAGGTTTGCTCCCAACTGCTTCCAAATCCTTGGCGTCGATGTGCGGATCCTCAGTGGGCCCCAATCCCAACAACAGTGTCCGGTGACAAACTAACTGTACTACTCGTAGTCAGAGTAGCAGTCGTAACAAGAGTTCCGGCATTGATTTTGTCAATTGAATGCCCCATTGCTTACCCAACATCTGGCTGAATTTGAGGCCTTAGGAGTGGCGAATACTTCCCACGCAGGATTTCAAGTTCCAAGGCTGGTCGTTATGACGAATCCAGAAGGTATCAAGAGGGTATATGAGGGATTATGAGGGGTAGGATGGGGTAGGTGTATAGGGGGTGATAAGAGGAATTTTCATGTTTGACCGTTCATGCACGATTACGTATAGGTCTCCTGAGGCGCGCGTCTGCCCCCTGGAAGCCTTTGATGTCAAAGGGTCCTGCCATCATGGAAGCAAGTTGGGATTGCGCACGATGCTTCACTCAAGCCCCGCACTCATTTCAGCATGTATATCTGTGTTTTGATATGGATACGTATGTGTAGAAAGTGAAATATGTCCTCGCACACACCCACAGCATGCCAACGAATCTTGCAAAGCCCTTGTACCTTCTGTATTTACTGAAAAGAATTCCCCGGTAGAACCCCCATATGAGCAGTACTTTCACGGAGATGCCATACCACCAAAGACACGACCTATAAAGCCCTTGAGGTGCTTTTGGATAAAAGCCTTCAGCCTTGGCTTCTCGAGGTGCCGTGTGCAGTTGGAAGGGCTAAAGCAGGAACACTGGGGCTTTGCTTCAGGCGACCTAATTTCCAAAAGGAAATAATTGAACAACTGGGGAAAACATGAAATTGCCAAAGAGTAGATGCTGGCAGGTGAATGCGCGACCGTTCCTGGACCATGCTTTGGAAGAGCTTTGAGTTTCCAGATCAGTGAATGTTTACCAGAAAGGATGAGGAATCATTTTTTATTTCGCCAGCCCCTAAAGTGGCCCTAAAGGCTAGAACGTTAAACCCACCTTGGTTTTACCCGTTTTAGCTTCAGTATGTGGCATCTCATTTAGAAATTATTCAGACCCCGATAGCACATCCAAAAACCTTCACCCCTAGATGCCCTGATCCTCAAATCCAATGATAAAAGAGGAAGGTAACCTTGAACCAGGTCCTTGGACATCTCCAATCCGGTGCGCTTGAAGGATGCGCCGGCGGGCTCCAGGTGCCTCTGGCCATGGCCAGCTTTTTCGTTGAAGGTTTTGATCTTGGGCTTTAGGCTGAGGTTTTTGGGAAGTTTTTGGGTGTAGTTTTGAGGGCTTATAGCTTCGGGTGTTCAGTGTTGGGCTCAGGTGGTAACCAGGGGTTCTAGCATGCACTTCCTAACAGCTGCTAGTGGGGATGATGCTACATGGAGCCTAGAAGGGATTAAGTACCGCTTTACAGGCATGGCTGCCCAACCTCCGGCTTTGGGGCCTAGTCTGGGCCATGGTTTCTGAAGATGCTGCGTCCAAGATAAATTTCACATGTTTCCTTGCACCTTGTTACCTTCTAGGACAGGTGCGCTATTTGGGTTTTGTTACTATGAGATAATGGTTCTGCAATACATGAGTTTTTCGAGGATTGCGCATGCCATTTTTACAGTCCTTCTTCAAGGGAGGCAAGCCCTAAACCGCAAATCCTCGAAAGGATCCTGATCTTTGAACTTCGGGGTTGCACTTGAAGCGACTCGAGGAAGAATGACTCCTGTCAATTATCCTGAGTCTGGTATGATAGGTTCGATAGTCTTCCGGGGTGTATATTTCGCTTTGACAGCGAAATGATGCTGTCTGGAAATTGCTCTTCCCCTCCCGACAAAACATGATCCCAGCAATGGTGCCTCTTGAAGCAGAAGGATGACACGGACTGGGGTTTAATGTCTGTTTTGTGTGTGTGTGTTGGAAATTGCGACATGTGCAAGTTCCCTGGTTGGAAGGCGGTGCGTCTGCCGGGATATGGATGGGGAGGCAGGGCATATGATGGCGTGGACAGTAGCCCGTGGTGGATCCAGGAAATCTTTGGTCTATAAGGTGGTGCAAGACTTCCTCCATCCACAAAGTGAAGGATAGGGCAAAACCTGCGTGTGTTATGTTTGTGTACTCTGGCCGCCTACAATCAATTTCTGAGGGTATGATGTTTGTCATGTCATGTCACGGACACACTACTGTAGTCTTCAGGACTTGCATCAGGGGTTTTTAGAAGGGTTGATCTATTCATGTGACTATGTCATTCTCAAGTATCCGGATGGGCTTTGAAAGCGAGCTGAATAAGGGAGTTCTCCAAGCTCATAGACTCATAGATGGTTGGTTTTGAGGCGTGAAGATAGCAGATGAGGACTCAACAAGTTGTGCTCCTGCTGCTGTTGTGTCTTGTTTGCCAGGACCACTGCCATGTACATAGCGAAGTGGCAGCTCACCCAGATGGGCATGTTGCTTCAGCTTGTCATTGGCCCAACATAACCCTGGCTGAGGATGTGCGTGTGAAGCGTTTGGCTGTGGATGGCGCCCTGCGGCTGGCTGCAGCGGACGGCGAGCCCCCGGCGCCGCCAGAGGGCTTCATGAAGACTCCTGGTCCGTATAGCTAGGATGTATTGGAGTTTTTGGGCTACATGAAGGGGACCCCATTCCTGGAAGCTGCCACGTACCCAAAGGGTTCACCACGAAGATGATTCGTTCAGGGATGGTTCCGGCTAGTCGGGCCTGCACTCCTCCAAGCAGAGGAACTCCAAAGCCAGGAAGCCGCAAAGGGTTCCACGTTCAGGCGAGGGAGGCGCTTATCAGCAAAGTGTTCGAGTCGGTAAGCAGATTCATGTGGCCCAGGATGGACTTCGACCGCCCCCGAGCCGCAAACAAGGGTTTGCACATGGGGTTTGTACAGAATGTCCCTGTATTCCTTCTTTCCCCACTAGCTCCTTGGGCACCAGAAAGTCGCAACAAGGTTACAGCCCGTCCGAAGCCCAAGAAACACTACAGGCGGTGGCCAGGACTCCGCTTAGTTAGCCTTAGATTTGCACGCCTTTCTCTTTAAAAGTTTCTGGCCCTTCTTTCGAATATCAACCATGTGTCACTCATGGAATGTTCAAGAGAACAATTGCAATGTCACAGATAGCTTCATCCCAGTTCAATGCTGTATCTTGCCAGGATCTTTCAAGAGGCGGGTGGCGCCAAAAAGGCATTGAGCTTAGGACGGTTGTTGGACCAGCGATGCCGCACGCTAGTGCCGCTGCTGCTTCTGCGGCTGCCGCTGCTTTGGTGCGTGCATTCTGATCATCTTGCGCTGAGGCTTTCACCACCTCCGGACTGCGGAGAGCACTGGACGCTCACTTAGCGCTTTCTGCATTTCTCAGCTTTTTTTTTAGGTTACCGGATTCGCGAGGCTAGCGGGAATAGTATTGCCATTAAGTATCCTCTTGGAGAAGCAACAAGCATCTCAAAGCCTCACGGCAACAACCACCACACCTCTGCGAACACCACCACTGCTGCCAGCAGCATCAGCATCGGCAGCAGCAGGAGGAGGAGCAGGAGCAGCAGTAGCAGCAGCGGGGGCGGCGGCAGCAGGAGCAGGAGGAGCGGTTGACAGAGTATGTGAAGGCATGTGTTGCAGCTAAGGCCAATGCAGTCAGTGCCGGTCTGGCAGCCCATGAGCTTGACACCCTTGCGCCTGGGGAGCACGAGATTGTCTTGCTCTCTAATATTCAAAGAATAACGGTGCCCTTCCTTCTGTGGGTATATACCGGGACCTCATAGGGAGAGTATGCATAGTAATCTTGATCTATTCACTTAGTCGCTTAATCTTGTGTGTTTTTCTGATGGCTGCGTAATGCAGACAAGGTCACGAAGTGGAAGCATCAGGGCTACAGGCGGGATGGGCAGATGTTCAAATTGTCCACAGAAGCTCATGAACTATGATAAGGGCGGCCTTAAACAGTCCAGCTGCGTATCAAACGTCGATTCTGCAAATAGAATTGACCAGAATAAATTCTTTGCAGGCAAGACATCCACTCCGAAGGCGCCAACACCGCGCAGCCAATCTTGGAGCTTGGGTACTGATGATCAGCTATAATTCGCAGCATTCGTGGCTTTGAGGGCATGGCAAGCAAATAGTTTTGCACTAGTAGTTCCCACTGTCATTCTTTCCAGCACAAGTATCGTGATATGTATGCTGCAACTTCTTCTCTGCTTTCGACAGACGACAATGCCGAAATCGGCGTGCTGGACTTTGCAAGAGCCCCAGTGCGGTCTGCGTCTTTGGTTCGAGAAATGACTCGAAATGGACATCCCTTGTGGGTACCCTGGCTGCCTCGTTCCTGAAAACAAGTTATGGAAGATGTTTCTGGGGATCAGCTTAGTCTGCTCTCTTTGAGGCGGCCCTTTTGCAGGAGATAGCGCTGGTCCGGTCCCGTCCCTATGCCGGATGGGGGAAATCTCTCACCATCCTATATCCCCCCAGTAAGACATGAAAGAAGCTACAAAAAATTATGGCATCCCAAGACGTGCAAGATTTCCTCCATCAATAGTCCCAGAATAGTTTCTGCGGCTGTTGTAGTCATTGTACCACAGCTGGTAAGTTTAGGATTCTTCTTCTGCACGTTGATCACATTCCAACTATTCGATCATGTTCGATCTATCCGTGAGCCCGCAAGTGCTACACTTGAAGCAGCAGTGCCATTTTCAACTTTATCAGGTCGGGCAAGGAGGAGGATCCGCTTGATGCTTTGGCCACTGGGCACTCGAGCTTCCCATGACCTGTTATGTTACTGGAGACCCCATGAGGATTTAAACATAGGGCTGCTCTCTATGATGTCTTGGCCTTCTTGCTGTGAGTACAAGTGGGTGTGCATGGGATAAGAGGCACCCAATTTTCATTTTTTGGTTGAGTTTCTGGTTGCGGAGACCCGCCCAAGGTTTCCTTGATTGAGCTATGTGATCCTGGGTGATGAGCCCTGCCACGTGGCGCTCAAGTCGCTGTTGATGCTGGAAGAGTTGTCTCAGGTTGCAGAGCGTTTTGGCATCTGTCCTGACCACGATACCTCTACGCCCTCTAGGATCCTGACCTCCCCAACAAATTATGCAAAACTCTAAATCTAGACTTTTGTTCCACCAGCAACTGCAGACTTCGGGTGCTGCACTACCTAGCCAGCGTTCTTGCGCGGAAGCACCCAAAGTTGGTGCCTTTCTCTAAAACCAGGGACTGCGCAATGCTGTGACGAAAAAATGGCCACATACAAAGCCCTGCCGCCGTATGCTTCAGGACAATTTTTGAACTGAACGAAAGCTAGAAGTTGCGTTCTCGAAATCTCAGCCTCTACACCCAAACCCTAACCCCAAATCCTAAAAATTGATTCCCCAACTGTAAGCCCTGTGCCGGTCCCTAGGTGCCGGGCTCTTCGGCAGTTCTTCACTGCGGCTGCTCGCGCGGCCCGTGATGGCCCCTTCCTTCAGCCGCCTGAGCTGAGGCCGAAGCTAAGGGTATGTATGCTGATGGTTTAGGCTCCTGCATCGCGAGCTTAGGGGTTTGGGGTTAGGAACTCCACGTGAAAAAGGATCCTGCATCAGAGATCTACGAACCCCTGCAAGGAGATTGTTATCAAAGCAAATAGGGCTTGAGGAGTGTGAGGCCTTGGATCTTCTCAGAAAGGTAAGGCGCCTGGCCGGTGTCAGTGCAGGTGCAGGTAACCTGCGGGTGTTATGTGGCCATCGATCGGATACAATTTGTATCAGGGGTGTTGATGCAGCGTGAGGCATAGCATTGAGCAGTAGAAGTGCAGTGCTAAGGGCAGTTTGTGCCTAGATCGGCTAACGCTGGCGGCGTGTGGGCGGCAGCAGCTGCGACGGGTGGTGGGGGTGGATATTGGGTACTCGCAGTTGACGGGACAAGAAAAGTGCTGATGGAAGCAAATGAAGCCGGCTGACAATTTGCTGATGGTCTCAGTTATAGAGCAACTGTTTTGGGAAGAGTCCTGTCGTAGACGTCGTGAACCTTCAAAAGCCTTAGCTAAGCCCTGTTTAAGAAGGCGTCAGCCATAAGCCTTCACGATCTCTTCGGAAACAACAACATAAGATAAACATGAATTCGTGTTGTTGACCAAGATGGACCTACTTGAGTTTAGATCCTAAACTCTAATATGAATGTGTTAGATACTGTTAGATGGCCTTCCACAGTCAGGCCATTGCACATTGCAGCACCTCGCAAGCTGCGATGCACTCGACGTCACCCTGCAGCTCATCCATTGCATGTTCCATGCAACAACACAGCACACCCTACACCCTAAACCTTGAACCCTAAGCCCCAAACATCCAGGTGGCGGAGGGTTCAGAGGGTTCGGCAGTGGTGGGTGGTACAGCCGGAAGTGCAGAGCATGCGGAGCAGGACGCCACCACCCTGTAGGAGACAGAGGATGATATGGCGGGCACCTTTGCGGAGCGTCTGGAGCGTCGTTAGGCGCGTGATGGGCAGGTGTGAAGCACTATGCGGGAAGAAGATCGTCTGTGTCGGGACCTACACCTACCTGACTGTTCGACATGGGTGGCTAATGTTTTGGGATAATTGCGCCAGCGCAATAGCGCTTTTCTGCGAGACGGAAAAAAAGGTGCCATACAAAAAACCAAACTTTAAACCCTAAACCCGCAAACCCTAAACCCCTCAACCCTAAACCTTAAGCTCTAAATCCTAAACCTCAAGCACTAACCCCCATAATCACCTTTGAAACTGGCTGCCCTGCTGGCCAGGCTTCCATTGTCAGTATTGCGCGCAGCAGGCACGGCTTTCCTACTTGAGGTTCAGGGCTTTGGGGTTAGTAGGGTTTAGGGTTTAGGATTTAGGGATTATGAACTTTGGGCTTTGAGTGTTCGGGATGATGATTTAGGGTTGTTCCCTATGATCATCCTTACAACAATCCGTACATTACGTCTGCAGGTAAGCTCTGAAACAATGCGCCTGGAGCTGGGATTCTTTGACAGAAAGCAAAGAACCTGTCTCCTTTAGGCCTTCCACTCCAATTCCATGAAATGGCGCTCTTTCTTGCTGAAGGAGATGCTGGCATGTGGAGGTCAGAGGTATTTTCGATGCCTGGGGCTCAGTCAGGCTCGAGTGTGGTTCTTCAGAAGGTGAAAAGAACTCTCATACTTGTTGTAATATCGATATGAAGAGGTTTGCGATTGTGGCAGCAGTATCCGCAGTCCCTCCCCTCCTGCTGTGGCTCCCGCCACTGTGACTGCTATTGTTACGGCTTCTACTAGCGCTACCGCTACTCACAATTGCCGCAGAAGAGATATCAAATGTTTAACTTGTACTCTTTCATTTGAAGTCCGGGCGCATGTCGCTGTGGCAGCATGTGACGAGGCTTGCGCCCATGGTTTCGCCGGCAAGTTTAGGACCAGCCGGCAAGCAGCCTCTCGTGGTCGCAGTCGTCATCTTATTACGGTAGAATTATGAGAATAAAGAGGAGGGGTGTAGGGGAGAAGGACGAGGGGAACGATAGCAGTTGCAATCACAGTAGAATGATTCTCCGCAGAAAGAAGGTACAAAAATAGCAGTCACTGTCATCGTAGTGTTTGCTAGCAACGGTCATACTTGTATTCTCTGCAACTGATATAAGCTGTTACGCAGGAGTTTTTACAAGGTCCAGGCTGTCCCTTGTAACCACACTACACACCACAGACATACAAGTCTCAACGTTAGCGTTTAGATGAATCTTGCTACTCTAACCTGCCAGAAACATCCAAGCCTACACAGCTGTTTTGTGACATTCTGTGTTTGGGCGAATCCTTCATCATTGTGTGCCTAGGTCAGTTTTGTGGTTTCTTATTCATGTGAGCAGGTCTTTCAAAACTGCCTGTACATGAAAAGCCCTCGTTCACTACCACCGCTTCCACTTACAGATGAAGAAAGGTGCGACCAGAGACTCAGCCTTCTAACCCTGCAGAACTCGACTGAGACTGATTTGTGAGGCTACACTTGGGAGGATAATAATAGCAATTACTCCCTTCCTTCAGAAGCACCAGATCGTTCAACACCATATGTCAGGTTAGTACGCTGGTCTTGGGCCCAGCCGCGTGGTCCCCAGGTATTGATCATGGTCGCAGGACCAAGATTTCAATCCGAATCCCTTAAACCACACCCAAATCTAATCACCAAGCCTTAGATACTTCAACCCAGAACCTACCCTAAGTCCTAGGCCCAAAGACAGGCGCTAGGGTTCAGGTTTAGGATTCAGCGGATCTGCCCTTCCTCCTTCATTATCCGGCCTATGTGTTTTTCTGCAAATCATTGGCTTTTTGGTGCCGGACCATCATCAGACTCGGAGGGTTGAGCAGGGGCTAGAGAATACGCATACAGTACTTTGGATTGACAGGTGGCACTCCCTTTTTTGAAGTCATCCCCGTGAATGAGCGGCATGGTCCAGAGGTCAAAACCCGGCCCCCGCACCACCTGCGCGATTGGAGGCCAGACTTGCAGAGTGAATCGGGGTGTCTGTTTCAATCCGGGATCTATCCTTGGCGAGACTTTCAACACTTTACGGGGATAAGAAGGGGTTGGGGGTGTAGGGGCTTAAGGCTCTGAACCCAAGTGGGTTTGCATTTAAATGGAAATCCGCAATCTGCATGTGACCCGAGCGTGACAACCGCCACCATTTTCCAAATTATCTTGCATAGCTAGCAGCTAGATCATAGAACTTGGCCGCGTTTGATGTGGGCACGCTGGAAAGACTCATCACCCAAAAGCTTGCGAAGTCATAGAGCCTTCTATCACATGTTGCCCTAAGCGCGAATCCTAGGCCCTGAGCCCAAAGCCTTAAACCCTTAGCCCCAACACCCGCAACCCTAAGCCCCAGGCCCCCAGCCCTAAACCTAAGCCCTCAACCCCAAACCCTAAGCCCTAAATCCCTACACCTTAAACCCCTGAACCCTAATCCCCTAAACCCTAACCCCACTAAACTGGTTGCCCTAAATCCCCGCATTTTGCAAGGCCTCGCCTCCCCAGGCCGAGTTTCGTCCGCAGCGGGACGCTCAAGAACGCTTCTTTTAACACGGCAACCCCCAGAGCCTACCAGTATGAAACCTGTAAGCCTGCAACCTATATGTTTATATATATATATATTTATGTATTTGTTTGTTTATGGCTTCCCAAAAACACGGTGCTTGTTTTGGGTTCCTAAGGTGGGGACTGGAACATGTTAGGGTATAAAGGGGGTTTTATGGGACCCCCCATGTACTGCTATTGATCTTGGTCCACACTATGATAAGCGGGGCTATGTTTCTTGTCTTGAAGAAGAAGATGATGGTGTCGATCACCATAGTCCCATGAGGTTCCATGTAGCAACGGGAGCCATATCTTCTGATAATTTCTTTTATGATCATTTTATGATTATTTTATGATTTGGGATTTTCCTCGTTTATGTGTCTTTTATGATTATTTTATGGTTTTGGCTGGTGATCATTCTAGGGGGAAAAGAGGCCCTGACAGCTGGTTACCGTGATCATATTGTTGTGGCCGCTTGTTGCATAAAAAAGTCATATTTTTTCATAAAAAGGTCATAAATTTTTCATAAAACACAATGTGTTTTTAGGTTTTTCGGTTTTTTCGAGGTTCCGGGGATGTCACCCCTCACGACCACCCCCCAGACACCTAAAAAACAATGAAAAATCATAATTTTTTCATAAAAACAATCATAATTTTTTCATAAAACACAATGTGTTTTTAGGTTTTTCGGATTTTTAGAGGTTCCGGGGATGTCACCCCTCACGACCCACCCCCCAGATACCTCAAAAACAATGAAAAATCATAATTTTTTCATAAAAACAATCATAACTTTTTCATAAAACAAAATGTGTTTTTAGGTTTTTTCGGATTTTTAGAGGTTCCGGGGATGTCACCCCTCACGACCACCCTCCAGACACCTCAAAAACAATGAAAAATCATAATTTTTTCATAAAA